TAAGCCTAAAAGGTGAATAGGAAAATTATGAAACAATTAAATTATTATAACCAACAAAAAATTACATTTCAGAAGGCTTCTACTGTTTAGAGCTACTCAGTCTATTGCAGAGTGGAAACTCTTTTTTTTTTCTTCTTTTTGAGACAGGGTCTCTCTTAGTTGTCCAGGCCTCCAACTTCAGATCCTCTTGCCTCAGTCTTCTGAATGCTGGGATTATAGCCAACCACACGAGGCTAGGAACTCCCTTTTGTTTTAACCCCTTGCCAACATCTCCTCTAAGGATCTCAAGAATCCCACAACTGGCCAGGTGCTGGTGGCTCATGCCAGTAATCCTAGGTACTCAGGAGGCAGAGATCAGGAGGGTCACAGTTCAAAGCCAGTCTAGGTAACTAGTTCATGAGATCCTATCTCGAAAGTACCCATTACAAAAAAAGGGCTGGCAGAGTAGCTTAAGTGATAGAGCGCCTGCCTTGAAAGCATGAGTTCAAACCCCAATGCTGTCAAAAAAACAAATGAACAAACAAACAAACAAAAAAAAAAAACCCCTAAAATCCTGAACTATAGTTGCTCTAAAACAAAACCTTGTTTTACGTGGAAATTAAGGAATTGGAGTACTTTTGTTATCCTAAAGGTAAAGAACTGGGAGACAAAGGGAAACAAATGAGGAGTGAGAAAGGATGTAAATCCAATCCCAGGTCTTGAAGGAAGATTTTTAAACATGAAATGATATGGCCTCATCCCCAAATGTTTGAATTCAGGTTTAAATTGATCTAGCCTTATCTCACAAAAGGCTAAGTTGAGGAAATCTAAGGTAAACAGAAAACAAAATTTGAAGAATTTAGCATTAATAGGTAGTCTGTCTTTATGACAACTAAAAACAAGGTCTTTGTTTACAGAAAAATAACTACCTTAGAATACTACCTAATGCCCTTCTTCACAGGGATGTTTAACAAATGGCTAGGTTCAGGAAAACCCAATTCATTCAATGAAAAACATAAAATCTATAAAGACGGTATGAGATAAAAGGGAAGAAAAGCATAGTACAATTCATTAATAAAAAAAAACATGGGAAGGATGTGCAGCTGAGCAGCTTTTCCTGAGGTGGCCTTGGCTGAGAACCTGGCCTTGTACCTTTAACACATATTAAGAATGCTACTGTAAGGTTCTCCCCTGCATTTATTTCAGATTAAATGACAGTGGAGACTGACTCCTTTTGAGCATCTGAATAAAAGGAAAATTGACTCCCAAAAAAAAAAACATTAGCTGGGTGCCTGTGGCTCATGCCTGTAATCCTAGCACTTGGGAAGTTGAGATGGGAGGATCCAGGTTTGAGGCCAGCCCGAGCAAATAGTTTCCCAGACTACAGCTCCAAAATAACCAGAGCAAAATGGACTGGAGGTATGCGTCAAGTGGTAGGCCTCTGCTTTGCAAGTAAGAACTCCTGAGTTCAAAACTCCAGTCACACACACACACACACACAAATCATCATCATCAGAAAATGTCCCAAAGCAGATAAAAATTTTTTAAACAGTTTACTATGGATTTAAGAAACAAAAAGCAATTACCTCTATGAAAGAACACAGAGCAGAAACAAAAGGAAGAGATGATAAAACAGCAGGAAATAAAACATAGAGATGAAACTAATAAAAGAAGTAAAAGAAAAAAATACACCAATCCCAGAACGAAGTCAAAACCAGAAAGGCTGTATTTATTTTGCAAAAGGTAATGGTTTACCTCCATTATTTCTAATTTTTTTTTTTTGTATTGGGGCTTGAACTCAGGGCCTACATCTTGAGCCACTCCACCAGCACTTTTTTGAGTTGGGTTTTTCTGAGATGGGATCTTGTGAACTGTTTGCCCAGACTGGCTTCAAACCAAGATCCTCCTGCTCTCTGCCTCCTGAGTAGCTACGATTACAGGCGTGAGCCTGTAACTATAATTTCTTTCTCTATTTTTGTCGATTAAAACCTCCAATACAATGTTAAATAACAGTGGTAACAGCAGATATCATTTTATTCCTGATTTTTATGGAATATTCTGTTTCTCTTTCAAACATAATGCTGAATAACAATCTTAAATAATAATCTCCAATGTTTATCTAATCAAGTCAATTAATACCAACATATTTGATTTGACACAGAAACATGTATTGTCTGTAATATTTTAATTATTTCTCCTTACAACTTACTTTATTGTATCTGCAAAGCTGACTCGACGAGAGCTTTTCCTATTTCTCAAAGCATTGGATTCCTAAGAAAGAACATATCATATGATTCTTAATAAACCATTGTGAGTACTATACACAGAAATCAAGTTGTATTCTGAATTAATTTATGATTCCCCAAAATAGTCCAATGTAGAACATGGAACTTAATGAACATGAATGTGATTTTCTAAATACTTTTTTTTTTGCAATGCTAAGGATTGAACCCAGGGCCTCATGTGAATATGATTTTTTAATATGAGTTAAAATAAGCATACTGACACAAACAACATGTAGCAAAAAAGATGGGACAAAACAATAAATATGTTACCAATTATATTGATCTTGATATAATATACTCTTCTAAAGTTAAAAAAAAAAAAGAAGGGGGGGCATTGGCAGTTCTGGGGCTTGAACTCAGGGCTTCATGCTTTGATAGGCAGGTACTCTACTACTTAAGCCATGCCTCCAGCCTTAAAAAATTTTTTTCTTTATTCTTATTTTTTTATTCATTTTTTCATATGTGCATACATGTTTGGGCCATTTAAAAATTTTTAACATAACATAAAATTTACCAGCTTAACCACTTAGTGCCTTGGTGAATACTTAAGATTTTTGTTTGTGGTAAAACACGTGACATTAAATTTACCATCTTAGGCATTTTTAAATATACGATTCAATAGTATTAATAGGTCACATATCTACCTTTCTGTGCGACCACTCTCCAGATGTTTTCATCTTACAAAACTGAAACTGCAAGTATACCATTAAGAAATTCATTTCATCCTCCCCACCCTAGTCCCTGGCAACCACCATTCTGTTTTTGTCTGCCTAAACTTAACTATACTATTCCTCACGTAAGTGGAAACACAGAATTTGTCTTTGTGTGACTGGCTTTTCATTTAGCATCATGTCATCAAGATTCATGCATGTTGTAGTTTGTGTCAGAATTTCCTTCTTTTTGTGAGACTGAATTTCACCATATAACAATGTTAAACAGGTAAACAGTAGGATTAACATAGATTAATGTATTTTTTACTTAAAAAAACAAAAAACCCCAGAAATTTGTGTGCTATAAAGAACACTAAGGTAGAAATGAAAGGATTGGTAACCTCGTTTGAAGTCTGCCACATACCATTTATACGGATTTCGATAACATATTTAACCTCTTTGAACCTCATACTTCTCATTTATAATGGAGGCACTAACTTTAAGATTACTGATGAGAGCTCACTGGCTTCAAAGCTCTAGGAGTCTATAAATCTGTCATTTGCTCATTCAACACCAGTTCAATTAAATTCCTACTCTGTCACACAGATATAAAATACAGAGTGTGAAGGGTGCTTGCAGGAAGACTACACAAAAACCTACTTTAGTCTGAGAACATTTCTTTGAGGTTGTACATTTTTCCCCTCTTTGGTGGTACTGGGGTTTGAATTCAGGGATTCACACTTGCTAGGTAGGTACTCTACTACTTAAGCCATTCTACCAGCCCTTCTTTGTGTTGGGTATTTTTGAAATAGGGTTTCTCAAACTATTCGCCCATGCCGGCTTTGAACCTTGATCCTCCTGATCTCTTTCTCCCGAGTGGTTAGGATTACAGATGTGAGCCACCAATGCCCAGTGAGGATGTACATTTAAGTTGAGACCTGAAGTATTAGTCAGAAGTTAGCAGGATGAGTTTGTTAAGGGGAAAGCATTCTAAGCAAAAATGTATGCACAGACCCTGAAGCAGGAGAAAAATTGATGCATTTGAGAAATAACAAGGATAATTTTGGTCTCCAAAATTATATGCATTTAATCAGTGAACTACAATGGACTGAAAGCCAACAATGTATCAGACACAATTAAGTGCAAAAACATATGATAAAGTTCTTGCTCGGAGAGACTTCTTAATTTAGAATGGACAGAGGTTAAGAAAAAAAAAAGACAACAACAAAACAGAATGGACAGAGGTAAAACAATTATAATGGAAAGTGTTAAGGAATGATTTTCTGAGAAGTGGCACCCAAGCTCAGTCTGGAAGAACAAACAGGAATTAATCAAATAAAGAGGACTACAAGCCAGGCGCCAGTGGCTCACACCTGTAATCCCAGCTACTCAGGAGGCAGCATCAGGAGGATTGCTGTTCCAAGTCAGCCTAGGGAAATAGTTTGCAAGACCCTATCTCGAAAAAAACCCATCACAAAAAAGGCTGGCAGAGTGGCTCAGGTGAAGACCCTGAGTTCAAGCCTCAGTACTGCCAAAAAAAAAATCACTGAAAATAGTAATCTATAAAGATTTGCACTATTAGAGACTTACCTGAACTAGTTCATTTCCACCTCTGAGGTCCTGAAGAGGACTCCTTGGGGGTTTCAAAATCTAGAGGTAAGAATTAGAAGTGGTAAAAAAAAAAATAATAATAAATCTAACATAACTGTTAATAATCACTTTATTCCAAGTTGTACCATGAGTAGGAAGTTAAAATTTCCATTAAAAAGTCTCTGAAATTTCTCAGTCATATTGCTCAGTGTAATGTGGCAGATTTAAATATTTGACATTTATTTCTTCTCTTGGTCCACAAGCCCCAATCTGATCTATACTGATCAGTAATGATTGGTTCAGGAATGAGGATAATTGCACTAACAGGATTAATTTCTGAGTCCTTTGTTTTTCAGTCTTGAAGAAACAGATACCGTTCTTCAAATAGAACTTGAACAGGGAAGTTGGGGGAGGTAGATGTACCAAAGTAACCTCAGAGTCTGCCTGCTGACAGAGATTACCCACCCAGAAGCAGCAGTCAGAATAGAAAAAGCAAAAGGAAATCCTAGTGAGAGTGATGTTGCTGGAACCTTGAATAGTAAGTTTTGCCCTTTCTTTGGAGTTTTCAGTTTTATAACCCAAAGTGCATTTTGTGCTTAAATCAGTTGGGCTGGATTTTTGTTTCTTAAGTATGCACCACCATGGCTGCCATTTTGTTTTTGTTTTTCTTTTTTTTTTTAAATAGGGTCTTGTTGTGTAGCCCAAGCTGCCTTCAAACTTAAGATCCTCCTGCCTCTGCCTCTGGAGTGCTGGGATTACAAGCACATACCACTCTGCCCAGCTTGGGAAAAAATTATTTTTGGTAGGACTGGGGTTTGAACTCAGTGCTTTGTGCTTGCAAGGCAAGGTGCTCTACCACTTGAGCCATACTTCCAGCAGATTTTTGCCTGGGCTGGCCTTAAACCTGGATCCTCCTAATCTCAGTCTCCCAAGTAGCTAGGATTACAGGCATGAGCCACCTGTGCCCAGCTTCAGCAAACATATTTTTAACCGACAAAGCATTTTAAGCATATTTTAAACATTTTCAATAAATGAAGTATAATTTATGTTAGCATAAAATTCATTAAGTTAACATGTATTAAATGTTAGAACGAAACCCATTATTTTGTGCAATATATATTAATTAAAAACTCACCAATTTACAAAAAAATTTGTAAATTATGAATTTTAGTATAGTTACATGTGTCGCCAGTCTAAATATTTTTTATCAGTTTTTAATCAGAGATCAACAGGAAGCCAGTGGAAATGGGAAGGTGAAGCAGTCAAAATCGCTGTGGTAAATAACTATCACTCAATAAAGGTAACTTTATTAATTTAGTGTTTCTTACTGAGGAATGCCGTCTCCTAACAGGTCTCTCTGTATTGTCTCTGAAAAAAAGAGGAAAAAGTTATGTGCAAATATACAAAGACTGAATTTCCAGAAGCCATCATCGTATCACCCCTTATATACTTTTAAACTAGCCATCGTTTTACTTAGTACTATGGCTAGCCACATTTATATTATAGTAGGAGACTTTAAATTCTATACTTAGGAATTCAGTGTTTTAAAAGATAAATTGTGTCCCATAAGACTATCTCTTAAATAGCAATCAGTATAACATTTTTATCATATCTCCAGAATTTATTATGTGTAAGAGAAATAGTTACTGTGAAGACTATCATGACGTGGAGAATTTTGCTTGGTTTAAACATCACAGTCATTACTTGCTCTGTTTAGTGATCCTAAGCAAAAATAATAGGAGCCGGGTTGCCACACTTGACTTTTAAAGAGAAGCTGAAAACCCAATTATTGTATGAAATGTAGAGATTTTGCAATTTGGGTAACTAATTAAAATATGTACAGGCCAGAAAAATTATGTTTGCAGGCTACAAATAGGTTACTAGTTTGTCATGCCAGCTTAGAGAAATCATTTCATCTTCCTGGGCCTTAAAGAGATGGGAGGTAGTGTCTAAAGTCCCTCACAGTTAAACAGTTTACACAAAAATATGGCAGGAAGGGTTATTGCTTTGTAACAATTACTTCTTTTCCCAGAACACAATGTAACAGATTTCAGAAGTTACTGATAGATATTACTACTTGGAAAAGTATCTTTCTCAAAGAGAATATAACATTTTTAGTGACACTGAATGAACTTACTTTTCTTCATTAGTCTCTGAAGATACTCCATCCATATTTAAAGAAAACTTTATTCTGTAACAAATACACAGTATTTTAAAAGATGAGAAAGAGGGAAAAGAAATTACAGTCTATGAAGAGATTAACAGCACAGTTGTGACTTTAGGGTTGCTTTGTAGAGAAGAACAGGAATAGGAAGGAAAAATCACACTATGAGCTCTAAAACATGAGTCATTTAAGAGTTTTAACTACAGTGATCTAATTAATACTCCTGGAAAATTCTTATACTTGAAATAAAATTTGTGTTGGTCTGGGGACATGGCTCAAGAGGTGGAATGTCTGCCTAGCAAGCATAAGTTCCTCAGTTCAAACCTCAGAACTGCCAAAAACAAAAACAAAAAATCTGTGACTCACTCTGATCAGGATGATATGGACTTTACTGGTTCAAATAAAAATTTGACCTAGTTTATGGAGTATATAATAATTCAACTCCAAAACAGTGGATTTGCATCATAAACATATTTATCTTAAGAAAATGGAATTATTAGTCAGGACTAAAAAAAATTAAGACATAAAAATAACATTTTAAGTAGTATAGCTAGTTATTGAAATTGAAATTTTCAAAAAGCATGAAATACAGACACACAACCTTATGTTTACTTACTTGGTTTCAGTTCCTACCTATTCATAACGATATCAGATTTTCACTTTATGTATTGACCTTAGAACCTCACTTCTGAGTAAGAAAAAAATGTCACTGCAGATTTAAAAAAAAAAAAAAAGAACTGACTCAATTATTATTAGCATTTCTATCACAACACTAAATACCATATCCATAAACTGTTACAGTCAATGTTCTTACTTTTAGCAGTAAGTAGAGAAAACAGGTACCTAAAAGACACTATATTATTTTACAAGCTTTTGGCATACATAACAAAAGCCAAATTAGGAAATAGTATTTCATAATGAATCTCAACTTCAAACCAAAATAAGTCTGCTTTTTGTTTTTTCTTTTCACTTATGTGTTTTTATTAATTTATTTCTGTGTTGGGAACTGAACCCAGGTCCTTGCACGTGCTAGGCTAGTGCTCTACCATTCAGCTGTATCCCTAGCTTTCTTTTACTTTCTTTCTTTTTTTTTTTTTTTTTGCATTTTGTGGTTTGAAGTCAGGGCCTATACCTTGAGCCACTCCACAACCCTTTTTTGTGTAGGGTTTTTTCAAGATAAGAGTCTCAGAACTATTTGCCAGGGCTAGCTTAGAACCATGATCCTCCTGATCGCTGACTCCTGAGTTGCTAGGATTACAGGCATAAGCCATCAGCGCCAGGCTCCTAGCTTTTATCTGCTTCTTTTTCAATGCCATTGAAGTCAGTTAGCTTCGGTATGGATATGATGATGGGCATCTTATAGGATTTGACTTGTGATCCTCTCCATTTGTTCTCCATCACTTTCTCAGCATGCTTATCCATTTCTCTAGTTTTAATCATCTCTTATTCACTAACACTAAAATCAATTTAAAACAAAATTTTTATTTTATCTTTCAAGTACCTAGTATGGGGAACTGGTTACATAAGACTGGTCATAGATTACTGTGGGGTTTGTATGTTTTGGTGCTGGAGATATTGAACCTAGGGCGTTGCACATGCTAAGCACACATTCTTCACACTGACCTGCCTCCCCAGACCATGATTGCTAATTTTTAAATCAGCATCCCTGCATCCCAATTTCCTCTTTCTTAAAAGCAACTACTTTTATTTTTCACTGAATATTTTTGTATAAACTTTTGATTTTTTTCTAGTTTTCTAATTTTAGGCATTAAACTGTCTTCCTACCATGGGAGATGATAACTAAGTTCTCTTTCCTACAACTATCTCTGTTATGCACACACACACACAACACACACACACAAAGCAAAAATAATACGGTGATTTGGCAATTTCACCACTGTAATAGAAAAATTCTAAATAAATATTATTTAAAAATTCCAGAAATTTGTATGTAAAAAGAATAAAATATCATAGCCATGTCTTTTTTATTCTAGGAATGCAAAATGGCTTAACTCTAGAGGATCAACCTTGTAATCTACCATACTACGAGATTAAAGGTGAATACACGGGAAAAAAAAGTTTGACGAACTTTAATATCCTTTCCTGTGTATATGTGTGTATGTATATATATATATATATATATATATACCTGCTAGGCAGGCACTCTACCACTTGAGCCACTCTGCCAGCCATTTTTTGTGTTGGATTTTTCAAACTAAGGTCCTGAGAACTATTTGCCCAGGCTGGCTTCCAACCACAATCTTCTTAATCTCTGCCCCCTGAGTAGCTAGGATTACAGGCATGAGCCACTGGCCAAAAATAATCTCTTCACCAGGACCTATAAAGCTTTACAGGATATGGTTTCCTCTTGCCTCTTCATATCTCATCTCTTACCACTGTCTTCCTCACTGACTATTCACACTAGCCATTCAATTCCTGTGTCCACAGAGTGCTTTCCTAAATAATTCATTTATCCTTGCTATTCTCTCTTGGCAAGAAAGACAAGAAAAGTATTCTTGGTTAGCACTGTGTATATCTCATCTGTAGCATTACCACAACTCTAATTTAAAAGTCTTTTACATAAATTAACTATTCCTAATATCTCCCCAAACTACCCTTGCCCCAACAGTAAACCATGAGAGTAGGATTGGAGCATCTTATGTTCACTGTCACAGCTTTTTACATTTTTTATGATTTGTAAAAAACAAAGCAAACACCAAAACAAAGACATGACAGAGAATATGACAGTGACCTTGTAGACTGCAAAGCCTGAAATACTTACTATAGGACTCTTTGCCCACATGTGATCTTACATACCAGTATCGACAGTAAATATTTTGCAATGACATAGACCCTACTCTTGTACTGTCCAATACAGCAGTTATTTTCAGTTAAATGAAATATTTAAAATTGAGCACATTTCAGCTGCTCCATAGTTTCAGTTGCTAATGAAATGCTAAACTGTTCATATATTAAATATTACCATTATCACAAAAAGTTCTTCTATTTTCTCATTTAGCATCAAACACCTCATTATCACTCCATACATTTTCACTCAATTTACATATCTGTCAGCCACTCACGTGCCTGCTTTGAACCTAACCTTTAATTAGCAAAATCTTACAATACAAGGACTCCCCATGCCTGCAAGTCATCCCTCCATCACAGCGAACGTCTCATGAAGTTTACTCCCCATTGCCAAACGCCTGAGATCAGCCCTCCTTCTCTGGGTTCACCTCTTTAGAATGTCATCTAATTCCTTACTCCCTGTCTTGTATTACAGTAATTTCTGTACATGGATTATAATTCGGCGGATCGGGTCCAATTAAAGTGAAAACGGACTTCAGTCTTAACACCTGGAAGAAGCTGCTGCTTTGGCCTGCATCCTCAGCCTTCATCTTTTTAAAATTCCAATCGGAAGTATTCTTCTTCCCAAACTCCAGCGCTTAGGGGCTTTAACCCTGGGTCTGAGTAGTGGGGCGAGGAAACTTTTTCCCCAACCCCTCCCCCCTAATTTACAGTGCCCTGTTAGTGTTACACCCGCAGAAGCCGGGACACCTGTGGGGTGTCGATCCGACGCGGTAAGTCAACCCTAACCGCGCAATGCCGTCACCCCATCTGCAGCCCAGACAAGCGGAAGACAGATCACCGACAACCGCGAGCTCCCGGGGAAGTGCGTCCCGGCCCTGACGGAAGATGGCGGGGCAGGGCGCGGCGGAGGGGAGGGGCGCGGGCACCCAGCCAGGCCAGGGAGCCGAGGAAGGAGCCGGCACCGGGCCGAGCCCGTCACGCTGGGCCTGGCGTTCCGCGAGGCCGCCGGACCGACCCAGCGTCCGCACCTCCCACCGCCCGACCTTCGCTGTGTCCAGACAAAGCCCAAGCCCGCCCAGGAGCCCAGAACGAAAGTTTCACGTTCTTCTTACCCGCCGCAGCCCACCTGCTGCACTTGTTTGGGGTCCGCGCGCGCCTCAGAAAAGGCGTCGCCTCACAACGCCCGGGCAGCCTCAGTGAAGTATTCAAATCTAACCGCCTAGGTGCTGCGCATGCGCAACGCAGCTCTATGCGTCGACTCCGCCCCCTTGGACGCCAAACCCACCCCGCCCCTAAGCCTTTTTTAAACTCCTTCGCCAGATCCTGTGCAAATTTAATTTCATTCAAGTTTATTTCATTTTTTACTGAATTTCCTTCACCCCTTCCCAATGCAGATCTCCTGTCATCATAGGAGCGGCCATCTTCTTTATCGATTGTCGGCTTTAGTAAAAGCAGTCGGACGTTGACTTCCGTACGAAATGGCGACTTCCATTAACATTGCGTCACAGCCCCCTAGTGTCACTCCCTATAGCTAGCAGGAAAAAGAAAGCTTCTGGGACGAGGTGGCCGAGTGGTTAAGGCGATGGACTGCTAATCCATTGTGCTCTGCACGCGTGGGTTCGAATCCCATCCTCGTCGGTAGTTCCTTTTTGCCTCTGACTTGCTCCGATGAATGTAAATTTTGTGGAAACTGTTTATTATATCTTCGATTGTGCTCTAATACTCAATTTAATCTGGGACCGTTAGTTTCGGAATCTAATATTGTTGCTTCTTTTCTGCGGTGCTGGGGGTCGAACGATTGAGACTTTTGAAATATGGCTTTGGGAGCCTTCTGACGTCACAGATAAGAAAAAAGAAAGACTTTTGTCTGGGAATGTGCTGGATTTAATTTCTTATGAAGTAAAAAAACAGTGCAAAGAATTCTACAGTAACTACCATCTCATATGTTCCAATTCTGCTCTGACCCAATGCTTCTAATTAGTTTTTTGTTCTGGATTTTGGTTTTTGCTTTGCTTTTGGCAGTACTGGGGTTTGAACTCAGGGCCCTTGAGCTTGCTGGGCAGGCACGCTACCACTTAAGCCACGCCCCCAGCCCTCCCAATTGGTTTTTAATACCTGTCCTGATTACTCGGGGTTCTCTTCCAGACCCCAGGGGCTACAGGTACTCAAGAAATGTATACATCGGGGAATATTAAAAAAGGTGTTAATGACTTGCG